AATAAATAGCATCAGCACCACTGTCTACTGAAACACACTCACCAAAAACTAAAACCCAAAACCTGACATTTCCCACCTGCCCAGATGGATGATGGAATAAATGATGTCACCTATTCCAGCTCCGCTCCTAATTAATCGCACCTCTGCGGCCACGTGCTCGCGGTGCTTTTAATAAAAGCGCGAGGGGCGTGAGGACCGAGGCCTGTGTGATGGCCAACATGTCACAGTGTTAACGCCTGATTGCACATCGAGGCCGAGGGATGCGACGAGCAGACGAGGCGCGCGCCCCCCGCGTGAACCCCGGCGACCCCGGCGGAATGCACGAGCCACCCTGTTGCTGGGCGGCGACGCACATTACAAGTGGAAGGTGTTCATTACACGCTCAGTGCGTGCGTGCGTGCGTGCGTGTGACTGGGGGGGTGTCCAGATCCCCTGGATGTCTGGAGGAACTCGGTGCTTTCAGCGCCATTAACGGGCTTCATGCAGCCGGACCACCGTGCACTTAATCCCGCCTTTGTCTGGAGCTGCGCCGCGGCGAGTCGCAGCTGCAGTGCCGAACTGTCAAATGTCTATTTTATCATCTGCAAACACACCCACTTCCTATAAAACACAGCATTAGAGCTTAAAATTATTCTTTTTCATGCCCTTAATGGATGATGGTTTAAATTAGCTTTTGATAACAGAAAAATCTAATGAGACAAATAAATTAGTCTCCCTGCAAAGTTACTTAATTTTAATAATTTATGATGAATCAAATCTATGACTGTGAAGGTTTTTGTCAGAGAACGCAGCAGGAAGTTCAAATGGTCTATAGGCTATGTAGAACAAAACATATGGTCAATATTATTATATAAACAGTAGTTTCATTTCTGTATGCCCATATATGGTCAATTRAAAGTGCCAATCAAATCTTCCATTAAAGCAGGTGCGATTGGATTCACGCACGTGCGCGGGCTTCCACGCACACAGACAGCCAGCTCTGAGCCGCGCGCGCTCAGGGTGGGTCTCGGCTGGAGCGGCGGCGGGTCTTACCGTGAACACATAAAGGGATGAAAACGGCTGAGACGGTCAGGAGCACCTGCCAGGTGCGCAAACGACTGTCGGCGCGCGCCATTCTTCCTGCACTACAATATAGGAGGTTCTTCCCTTTAACTCCGAGCCTCTCCCGTCTCTGCCTCACCGGACCGGTCAGATGTAAAATCCTCGCAGCAGATCCTCCGGAAGTTCAGTTCTGGTCCATGTCACCGTGAGAAGCTCGTCTCTCTGCGGGCTTTTTGACTGCTTTAGCAGCTCGGTCCCATTGTATCCCAGCCGGCTGCCTCCCCACCTTTTTTTCTTCTCCTCTCCTCCACGCGACAGCAGCAGCAGCAGCGCGAGGAGTTGTAGCTACAAATGCGCGCGACCAGAAAAGGGAGATGCTGGCGACAAGGGTCTMTCGCTGCTTTCTAGCTATAGCCAAGCGCAGAGCGGTACAGCGCGCGCGCCGTGCCGTGCCGCTGGGTGTCAAAGTGCCAACGCGCGCGCTCGCGCACACCCGTGTGTGTGTCCAGCCTGAGCCTAGCGCGTGCAGAAAGGCGGTGAACGTGGCAGCTGCGCGTCAATATGCTCCATTTTACACCCCAGCTCTGATGTGCGTCTCCGGGTGGCGTTTATATGTCAGTGGGTTAGTGGGTGCGCGTTGCCTCTTACCGCATGGGAGAGGTGTGTGCGTGCGCGAGCACGCGCCTGGCTAATCCTCTTACTGTTATATTGAGATATGGACTCCAGACAATAGCATCTGCTGCCTATAATCACTCCCATTCCCAACCCTGATTTTTTTTATTTTACTTAATAGAATTTTTTTTATTTCTACAGTAAATACACGACAAACGCACTGCTCCCTGAAAAAATGCAATATTTTAACCAGTGTGTTTGATTGGCTTTCTGTTAGCAAAATATCTCATGAAACACTGGATAAATTTTGATGAAACTCTGAGATGATGATTTTAATCCTCTGGCATGGCAGCGGGCGATGTGCAATAC